CAAAAGTCGGCTCTAGCCCAATGCTATGTTCCAGATGCGTGTCAATATTGAGGGAAGTATTTTTTTTGGAACCAGTCTAGTTAAGCTGCTGTGGACTTTTGAATGCACTCGTTAAATGAATGGGGCTAGTGCAGGCAAACTGCTTTTTTTCACATTTTTTTGCCCGGCAGCCATTTTGGAAAAGCCCACAGTAAGCAAAAGTGGTGACACATTAGTTTCAACAGTGGATATAGGCGTGATTACATCTGATAATATTTACATTCAATGGTTCAAGTCTGACCATTTTTCGGGCAATTAAAAACGACTTCATGCTTAGGAGCATTCTGAAAATAAATGTCAAGCGAGTCTGAAGGTGTCCGTAGAGCTATTTCTCTTATCAATAATCCTCATCTGTTATGATAGCAACAGTTTCAAAGTCACCCAGACAATGTAATGAAACGTAATAAACAATGTTGGCTCACTCCTTACAGTGGCTTGGTTATACAAAAGAACACCTCAGCAGTTTTAAGCCAATCCAACCAATTCCCACTGCCACGATGCAATTTGGAAGCACACTTGTGGTAATGCATAAAACACAAAATGGCCTTTCGATGAAGCCGTTAGCAATGTCCTTATAGCTCTACTTGGGTCACCTTTATCTGTGGCCAGCAAAGGGAACCAGTGAAATGGAACAAAAATTGAGCTTGAGAATGTAGTCACTGAACACTGACTGAAAGGCTGCCGCAGATCCACCCCCATACCCCCCACGTTTGACACATGACAAAAGGATCTCTGGGCGCTATTATATTAATGGGCATGTTTCCCAATTACCACCCCACTGTCATCTCAGATTTATAGACTTTTATGCATCTTAACCCTTCATTGGTTTGCTCAACCATTTGGTGGATCACTATTTGTCTATCTACTTGAAGCTTGGAAATGAAATCTACCTCATTGGGGAATCTCTGTCAGACAAACAGCATCTCAGCCATTTAGAAGAAAAACTATGGGTGATGTATTATTTTGGTTATAAGTGCTCCTACATCTTAGAAAAAAAATAAAAATAAGAATACATTTTTTTCTTCAAGGAGTGAACATTAAAGGGTAAAAGTCAGAAGGATTAAATGGGTTATGATACAGGGATTTATTAGGGAAGTTATTTTATATTTAAACAACTCCACACTATGGAAATGCCAGTCATTTGGTGTATTACACTGTATAAATTACCCAAGTTTGGGCATGGAGCAATTCCTCCAGCCCAAAGCATATGACGGTCTGTTCCTTAGCTTTCCGTGTTGTATATAATCATACTGGATTTTTCTCTGTGTGTGTTGCCTCTTTTACATGACCAGTCTTATCAGATTCTTTAAACGCCTGATGATGATTGTTTCTGGTCATAACTTGTTGAACTTCCCTGTTATTGAAAGACTATCAGAGACAAGGTTCGGGGTTCGAATCCCAGTCGTAACAATGTCTTTCTGAGTGGAGTTTGCATGTTCTCCCCGTGTCTGTGTAGGTTTCCTCCGGTTGTTCCAGTTTCCCCTACCACTAAAACATGCACAATAGGTAAAATCCTCCTGATTCGGTCCTGACCAAGCCGAGCAACAACATTTGGAGATGGGTTCCTGGGCGCTGTACTACGGCGATCACTGCTCAGGAAGTGGCATTAGGATGGGTCAAATGAAGAGGACAAATTTCCCTACGGGGACAATAAAGTGCATGTTTACATTTTTTAGAGGCTTTTCTATGGTTTGTTTACTTTAATCCAATCATACAATTTTAACATTCAAGCTCACTTAAGGTTTTCCTCATATACAACCCTATTAGAAAAGGAGTTACAAAGTGCATTTAACTGATTACACTAATGATAAAATGACATTTCCAGTGAACAATGCAACATGTGATGCATAAATGTAAGAATGATTTAGACGCTCCTGAACCCTGATCCTTGGAGCTTTCACCGCCTCTTAAATCAAAGTCCAGCTCTGATGAAATGCACCAGTCTATCTATTACATTAGCCATATGGTAAGGCAATATATTATCAATATGAATAATAGCTTTTCTTCTTTTACATGTGCTCCTCTTATCACGTTACATCATGCAATAGATTTGTTCGTGAAATATAAAACTGAATTGTTGCTTTCATTCAATTGTATTGAATCACGAAATAATACTCACACACGGCAGATTACTCATTTTGTCTTTTTTATTTATTTATTACCTAAAAAAAGAAAAATGTTCTATCACAAGTCACACTGAAATGTATTGCTTAAGAAAAAAAATATATTCATAGATTTTTCCACTTTTTTCTTTTTTTTTCTTTGTTTTTTCCTTTTTTTGGAAACAAGTGTTCCCATTATAATCCACCAAAAACAAAAGATATCTTTTGGACAGCATCAGCTGTACCATGCCCTATAACAACCGTCTCCCCAATGTTTAAAAAATGCACAAAGAAATACATAATTCACAGTTACCATTTTGGTTTATAAATTAATACAGTCACACATGTGCTACACCGGTCTAGAGCTAGAACATTGTAAAATTGTATTCTGAATCCCGTTATATTCAATAGTTGGCTACAAGAAAGAACAGGCAACTTAAATCTGAATTCCACCGAGTTTTTGCTCTCTGTAATGCTCCATCATCTTTTTTGTTTTATTTCATCATCTTTTGACTTTTACACAGAAGTGAGGCACACATAGAGTATAGTTCATACATTTACAAACAAAAATTAAATTATATTTGGGAAGGGCTTGAGCAAAACAGTGAACAGGAAGTGCATGAATTGGCATCCTCTTAGGACCAACATACTCCGGAGTGGGCCGGTTTTCCACTCCACCTGCAAGTACTGTGGCGTAAACTTTGATGGCAAGCTTAGCATAATTGTAGCTTTTTGTATTCAGACTTTCAACTGTGTTAGGATGTGCGTATTGAACAAAGAAGACCAACAGATATGAAAACACATTAGGGACATAAGTGAGATTTGAAGAACTACTATCGCTCAATTAACCTTCAAAATCTATAAATACTACAGTTTGCGTGTGTAAAAAACAGTGAAAACAATTTGAAATCAGCTTTGACACTGACACTGCAAGGGCAACATGTAAGGCACAGAAGCCTTTGACATAATTTGAGACTCCACCAGCTAAAAAGCACTAAACGACAGATGCCCAGTTCCTCAGTGACAAAATGGTGCCTTGATGACGACAACAATACACAGAAACATTTCCCCATCCCCCCACAAGAGTTTTTAGTGAAGGTAATAATAAGGCCACTTAAAAAAACAATGAGGTTCACCAAAAAGGTAATCTCTCTCTGCAATCTCTAGGAGTGCAATTATGGTGGTTGATCATTCAGACAGAAATACAAGAAATTCAGACGAACTTTTAAGTCCGCCATTCAGCTGGTTCCAGGCGAGCAGAGGGGGAAGTGGGTCCTTGAAAAGTCCTTGAAATTCCTGGGATCAAACCAGCGCATTGGGGAGTCAGCGAGTCTCATGTCTCTCCAAAAATTGCCATCGTCTTCATTGTCAAAACAACAGGAATGTTCAGTTAACTTCATCTGTTTTGGTTTTGCGTCTGTAATACTTAAATTGCAGGACACTTTTCCTCTTTGTAAAAACAGAAAAACAAATGTTACAAAAGTCGAACCAACAAGAGCAGCATTGGTTGTATTTTATCTTCACAAAATCATGCATGTTGTTAACCTTCATTCCCCAAAAGCGCCAGTTTCAAAATGTTTTCCTCCCGTCAATAAAAAAAGAAAATGCAGTTTCACACATTTGCATGCAGAAATACGTAAGAATCCCTCCCACTTTTTGAACATCCCGGTGTGTAGCAGCAAGACTGTAAAAGGCCTAACCTGATATGTCAATGAATGAACTGGTGGAGGCACTATTTAATTATGACGCTCAGTCCTACTTATCCTTCAGGCAAAGAAATTTAGTTTGTGTTGGACCACATGCGTTGAATGGGGCTGATGTGGGAATAACACAGAATTATTCATGCATTTACTGCAATTAATCAAAAATCAAAAGCTATGGGGAGATTTGGGAGACATTTTGGACTAGGTCTGGCACATCCTAAATCAATGTACACATCAAACACACGCACCCTCATAAAACTTTGAGCCAATTGTCACAGTTATTATTTACACAAAATCTAGTCATTTCAGGTCTGTAAGACATGAGGTGGGCCCTATGGAATACCTTGTGGCTGAGGCTTGACAAATATAATTCGTCAATGGGCTGAATGAATGAACTGATGACATTTTATTAGTTGTCAGTGACGACTAAAGCCACAGAGGACTGCTGCTTTTTGAAACCAGCAGAGAGGAAGATAAATAAAAATAGATTGTTTTAATTATACATTTAAAGTTTTAACATCCTCTAAAGCACTTTCTGTTAATATTAATTTATATTTTGTTTATTCATTCCTATTGATTCCCATACTCTTTTCTTTTCCAGGCCCTGCCTCCTTGCACACCAGTTGGAATAAATCATGTGCAAAATCAACTTGTTTACCGTTATATGATAACCTGAATGCTTTGTGAACAATGCTACATATTTTATTCTTTATAAAATATAATATGTTTCAAAATGGCAAGAAATTAAACAAACAAAATCTGATTCAATCACCCGATAACAGGTAGAAACTGAACTTGGTTGGTGTGATTGAGAAGAATGCCCATTGGAATAATCCACATAGTTCTGTAGCTCTGCCTCACCCTCGGATGAGAAGTGCCTGGTGCTTCTGTCCTGTATATTTAGTCCCGAGTGGAGTGCTTCATGTCCACAGTGAGTTGTACAAAATAATCGCGAAACATCACCACCATTTCCCTCACAATTCTGCTATGCTCAAGTCCAGGTAAAGTCTCACTTGTCCTTATCCAAGCGTTGAAAAAAAGTGTTATTTCGCTATCGTTGCCGAATGGGCTCAAGTCTGTACGGAGCCTTCCTTCCTGCGGCCATCCAAAGATTCTCCATCTTTTTCAAACTATTTTAAAGATACTAAATCCTATCTTAGGCCATGACAAACTCGGACTTTAGGTCAGCCTTCACATCGGGCTTCCACACTGAGTCTTCGAAGTCCAGATCCAGAGAGCCCTCGCTAGACATGCTGCTGTTGCTGTTGCTGCGGCCGGATTTGCGGTTGGGCAGCCAGTGGTAGGGTCCGCGGTGGTCCCGTCGAGCCTTCCTGCGCAGCCTCTTCTGCTGCATCAACAACTGCAGGCGCTCCACTTTACAGCGAGTGGCGCGGTTTTCCGTCTGACGCAGCCGGTCACCTGTGAAAGCAAGAACAACACCTGGTTAGCCATTGTCTGGTTCAACCTTTTGCAGAATAGAAACACGATTGGAAAAGAGTTGGTTGGAGTGGAGGCTTTACAGTCCAAGTCTTGGTTTAAAACAGAGGTGTCAAAGCGGTTCCAGAAATGGCCAGTGTAGTGTCAGGTTTTTGTTCCAGCAGGGGCACGGACTTCCCCCATTTCTTCAGGTAAGTCCAGTTTTAACACAGTTCAAGAAATATGTGGAGTCTGGTGTGCTCCTGCTTAGGTTGGAACTAAAACCAACAGCCACACTGGCCCTTAGAGGACCGGTTTGACACCTCTGGTTGAAAAAGACGTCATTCATGGAACTGCGTGGTGATTCCAGTCCAAGTCAGAAGCATAGACTGGGTCAGAAGCAGTGGAAGAGCGGTAGCAACCACACATATCTTTCTACTGCGGTATTGATAAATGTAATTGCAAACCCCCAGAGCACACACAGAATATGACAAGATGTTAATACCTTGAGATACTTGTATGGAAATTAATTAAAACTGCTCATTTCAGTCTACCCAAATTTTCAGTATTGATTGCTGATTTGCAGGGAATTGTAGCACAGCACTAAACAAAGCAAGACAGAGGACAATGCCAATATGTTTACAGGCAGCAGATGAAGCCGCACGGCATTAATGATAATGTTGGGACACACAAGAATCACCACCACACGCCACAAGCACACACTTTAACATTGGAATCACATCTCCACCTTCCCAACGACACATCATCAACCCCCTCTTTCCTATTGCAGCCTTATCGCTCAGTGGGGAGACCTCATATCGAGTAACAGGGTCATACAGCACAAACACAAGTCAAGGTAAGATGTCTTATAGCACAGACGATCCATCAATGACACGGGATTCCAGATGACATGGACGTCATTGTGAAAGCGATTCCTCAGCTGTTGATGTGACTATAGGGGGGTGAGGTCTCTCGGGGGGATGTCCCTCGTGAATGCATCCCGATAGTTGAGCTGAAACAAGGTTAATTCCATTTCTGCGTAAATTCAGAAAGGAAAAGAAGGACGGAAATGGGTGGGGGGGCAACCGCAATCTATTAGCCAGTTCCATTAGCATCTGTCGGGGAATTAAATAATTAAATAATGGTGTCTCAAATGTCAATAAACCAAAAGCACGGCGCGGTGACCATCTCTTCTCTCCGGCCTTCTATTCCCCCCTTCCTTCTGCATGCACTTCAGATCCGCATTGAACTACGCCAACGACACACACTCGCACAAACCAACATATACACAACACACACTTGTATGCACATGCGTACACACTCACACAGCCAGCGCCCGCAGTAGCTTTTAACGTGGATCGATGGCAAATTAAAAAGACCTATTGATTAAACCTTAGCTCTAGTGCAGCCATCCATCTCGAGGCCCAGGACAACGCTATTGGCTTTCAATACAAAATGCAAGCGAATGGAAATTGTAAGCAGAGAGGTAGGGTGGTAGTGGTGGGGGAAAGGTTTTTTTCTCCTATTTTTTCTTTATTATGGCTTCCTACTCTCAGCTCATTGACCCAACAGCCCCTCCTCTCCACCACCACCCACTTCACTCTCCTCCAACCCCCACTTGTGCTGCCCCAAGTCTCCCCGGAGACAGTAAGGTGGGGCAGAAGGACCGAGTGAAAGTGGGGGTGGCCATGACGGTGGCGGCGGCGTGGGTTAAGGAATTCCACCCCCAGGGGCAAATAGGGCAAAAAAAAGGAGCACATGGGGGGATGAAGAGTGGGCTTATAGAGCAAAGGACATAGACACGGGTGGAGGGTATAGGGATCAGCCGTAGGTGGCAGTTTTCCAAATCAATTTTCGCTCCTCCTCCCCACATCGGAATGAATCAGTGTGGGTTTAATTCGCCTCTTTCTTTCATTTGTTTTCTCTGGATCTAGCCATTTTGCCATCTATAAATATTCACCAGAGTCTTCCAATGGGTTAATGTGGTTTGGGACAGTGGTGGTATAATAATCATTGTCTTAGGGTTATGGGTATACGGTGTACTATAGTAGCAACACTGTCCATTGTCCACATTGTTTGTACAGCTAAAAACTTTACTTCTAAATGAAGAACAGTCCATATTAAGTGTGATAATGCTGTGAGGGAAGGTACTACTGACTGAGAGGACGAGAAAACACAGGGACGTCCCGCCATTAGGGCCATTGTTCCGCCGCCTCAGCTCCATGTGTCACCCGTACACAGCGCTCTAAGGCTTTGTTCCTTCACACTATCCCTGCTAATTCCACTGCTCTTACAAGCTAAAAGCGTAACTGTGTTGGAACTCAGTAAAGCTGTAAATTGAACATTTATCTTTTCATAGACCTACAGGCAGACAGGGTGGAGATCAATTCAGATAATCAAAAGTTCACAAACTCCTTCTATTGTTTATTTTTGGTTGGGGAAGAATATGAATCCACTGACCACATTTTAGCCACAAGTGAGCATTAAAAAGCAGTTTGGCGTTGCTGTAGGAGGCTTTGGTCTTTGGCTTGGCAAGTGTTCCGGGAATGTGCTTGGAGCTGCACCAAACGTGTGTGCGTGTGTGCAGCTCGTTCATTCATGAGCGTCACTACCGGAGCCCTGGGCGGACGGCCGGACACAGCTGGCCACAGGGATCTCCAGACTATGTTTATGACAGTGGGGCTATTATTAGTGCTGGCTACGAAGGACAGACTATACACGGAGATACACACGGCTGGCCCAGAGCCCTGCTGCGAATACCGGCTCTTGACGTGAGCACAATAACCTTGGAGGACCTGGCCAGGGAGTGAGAGAGTGGTGCCACAGAAATGAGCCAACAGGAAACGCAAAAAAAGATAGAGAAAAAAAAACACTTTAATGTGGGGATGGGCATGGAAGGTTAGAATGACACTACGGAAAACTGGATTACAGTGCTTGGAAGTGTGGCCTCATAAAAAGTGTCTGATGGAAATCTTTAAAAGTCAATGTAACCCACTGTATGTAGAAACCATGGTTACAGCTGCAGAAGGTTGTATTGTAAAAGTACAGAATTGGAACAACCAACCTAATCAATGCGTCTAGGGCTGTAGTGGACCAAAGAACTTCTTGGTCAACTTGGTGATCAATAAGTCGACTATAAATATTACACTCACAAAACTAAAATTTGACAAATAACAAACAATTGGGCATGCGATTGCTGAATTGAGAGTTTTATCTGGCTTGAATAGCAACGTAAATACTAAAATATTCAGCCATTTTGCTCCATAACTATTTCTTTAAATATATATGAATTTTCTGCTTTAGGTATCCCAAACTCCTCCTTCTCAGAGTATTCAACAATGAGGCACTGCAGGCGAAGCAATAGACAAGAGAGAAAAAGAAAGAAGGGGTGATCTATGAATAATCGATGCGTCAGTCAGTTTTCCTTGCCTTTGAGCCCAGCCCAGCAACACGAGGGCTGGACGGAGATAGGGAGCACGGACAGGAGAAGGAGGGGTGCAGCATGCGGGACGCAGGGGGAGATTAAAGGAGCTTCTTCTGCTATTGATTGTATAAAGATTGGCCTTCATTTGCAGTTGTCTTAGTGCTGTTGTTTGTTTGTTTGCCTTGATAAGTCTTGTGATCTTGCAGAGAGAACATTGTGTTTGCTCAGCATCCAGGGAACCGGGGGGAAACGAGAGGAAGGAGGGAGGGGATGTGGGCAACACAGGAATAATAAGAGATAGAAATGGAGACTCACATTGCAGCAAAGTCAGATGAAATGTTGGTTAGAGACGTGCAGAAGCAAACAGTGTGAATTCATAATTGGGTGAATTTTCTTATTTAAAAACGCACCAGAGTGAAGGTACCAGTCCTATACAGGGTAGTGAGAACACATTTTGACAGACTATAAAAGGCAGCGACAGCCCTGCAGGGACACAAGCTCTTCAATGACTTTTAGACGTAATTTGCATTCCTTCTCTCTCTCTCTCTCTCTCTCTCTCCCTCTCTCTACTGCTCAGTCACTCCTCTCCTTGTCGAGTATGAAAGGGCACCTGATGTGCTTGGCTGCTTTTGCCAGATCGCTGTGTGCTGCTGTTGTTGTCGCTGGGGCATTGGCACAGACACACCAGCAGGGCATGTTACCGCGTAGATCCGTACCAAAGCTGTATAGCGGATAATGTGCTTAAATAAGTCAGTGATTGGTATAGGGGCACGCTCCAGCCCCCAACTGTCTAGCCCATGCTAAGCCGAGGAGGTACAAAAATGAGGCGGAAATAATGTTAGCATTGCAGATCATTTTGTTATTCATGCGTGTAACCCCAATAAGTAGCGGGGCGGTCTGACAAAATGTAGTAATGTATATATTAGGACAGCCGTCTTTAGTTGTTTAGTCAAATCACTTTTCAACGCTTTCTTTTGGATCAGTTTTGGATCAGAATCAGAATTCTTTTATCGTCATGGTAAGCAACAGGAAGTCAAACTCAAGGGATTTGCTTCGGCTTAGGGTGTAAACAACACGGCGCAAAAAAGTAAAACATAGATAGTAAATAAAAAAAACATTATACAAAGGCATGCATACAAAAAATTCCATAAAAAACGTTTTTAACATTTTGAGTATCCTTGGATTTCTAAAAAAAATTCACCATATCCTTGACGAATTACGTCAAGGATGTCAAAAAAAAATTGTAAGCTATGGAGCAAATTGATGAAGATGAAGATTTTGGTATATACTTTAAAATTTAAACCAGATCTGCATTCTCAATACTTACAGCAATTTTGTGTGTGATTTTATCCAAAAGTTAAGTGAGAGCATTTTAGGTCAGGTTATAATCGTTTTCAGAACTTTTGCCACAACCTCTTTGTTTATCAACTCGGCATCTATTATTTTACCAAGCAGGGGTTTCTGTGGTCGAATGCAGCCCTTGAATATTATGAAATACATATTTTTTCCCACACGTTGTCACATACTGTAGCAGAGTCCTACCCCAAAAGCAGCTGCAGAGGAACTAAAAGCTCATCGCTAATCTACTCTTCAGCCCCCTACCTCCATCCCACAAAGGGCCTGCCCGGTGCCCTGTGTGCGGCCCCTGTCCCCCATAGGCCCCTACACAACGGCACACAGGCTCGAGGTAGGAGGGGCTGGAATGTAGCTAAGAGTCAGCCTGGCGGGACATCGCAAAAGCTTGTTCAAAAATCCAACCTTGTCACATAATCTCTGTCAGCAAAAACTACAGAGTGCAGCCACCAAACCACAGCGCTGGCCTTTAAAGCGGGCAATTGTGGTCAAGTATGTGTTCCCGTGTGTATGTTTCAGAGCTTTTTATTTACGCTTGTCATCTCCCCCTTGTGCATGAACTTGCAATAGGAAAGGGTAAAGGCTCTCAAGAGACAGCCGAGCTATGTGACATTTTCAAGAGGGCTGTCTCAACCTGCGTGCACACCATTTTCAAGCACATGGGAAGCGGCGAGCTGTACCAGTTAGCTGAGTGAATTTCTGTGAAGGGAAGTTAAGTGGCTATGTTGAATCCTATATCGGTATCTGCTGATAATACCCCATGGTAGGGTATTGTATACTACTCTTTGTACCGCTCAGTGACAAATCTGTATTCTGTTTGTTGATTAATTGCATGTATTCTGTGTATTCTTGTGTTGAATGGTGAGAGAGGTCGGGAACAAAATCTGCTTCATCCAACCCCTTTTGTGTTAGAGTAAAGATATGTGAAAGTAAGTACAAGGATCTGCTTAGTCATCAGCTTTGGGAGAAGAATTTCCACAAATAGTTTTCAATTCAATTTTTTCTTGTATAGCCCTAAATCCCAACAGTAGCTATCTCTGAGGACTTTACAAAACTGTTTCCTTTTCACTATGTTATGAAGTAATATTTAAAGAAGGAAAAGGGTCACCGTACTGGAAGCGTGGGCTAATTAGTGAACATGTCCAGTGTTGTGGATTTAAGAACGCTCCCCCCCCCCCCTTCCCTGTCATTCCCCGCCTCCCACTGACCTTTTTCACACAAAGCAAATTCTTATTCAGGGTTGCATATTGGAATACATTTTTCTATTTAAAGGCCAAATGTGCACAGACAATGTATTGATGCACAACGCAGACATGGAAAGAAAGAGGGGGTGATTATGAGGAAGAGAGATGGATTTTACAGCAGGACTTTTTTTGGACAGCAAATGGGGGAAACAGTGGCGTGGGCTGCAGAACGTGAACGAGAGAGCTGAGTAGAGGAAGAGGAGGAGGGGGCGATGAGCGGAGGTCTTCCCTGAGTTAGAAAAATAACCCTGTGTTATTCCATCTGTTCAGTGTGTGCTTGAAAGACCACTCTGTGATACACAAAATACACAACAGTGCCTATAAATTGCAGCCAACTCGTACGACTGCAATGACTTAACCAGTTCATTCTACTTGTGCACAGGGCCATAAAGCAAAGAGGACAAAGCAGCCAGTTACAATAGAAGTGTATGCACTTGCTTTTCTAAACAAAAGAAAACATTAAACATTAATCACAGCACAAGAGAGCCATTTCTGTCGGACTATTCAACAAAATGCACCCACAGCTCACCACAGTAGCTCAATTTCCTCACCAGGAGATAAGAAGGCAGCAGAGGACAATGCTGTTTCTCCCCGCGCAGCAAGTCTAACCTTACAACATTGACTGAATGTTATCAATGCTGGACATCTGTCTGATACTCCACATCCTGTGTCTTTCTCAAGGAAACAGCCCCTCCAGTGTATAATCTGAACTGCACATAGCTGCCCTGCCCCAACCCTTGGGCCTGGGTATGTCAAGGTTTGACTCTCGGTTCAGCCAGGGCCTATACATGCCCCAGCTGTAGCCTTTCTTTAGGAGCTAGATTCAACACTCAAAGCCTAATCTTATCTAAACATAGCCCGGCCCAGGCTTGAAGGGGTAAAACTATCTACTTGGTGCACACAAATAAAGCATCCTGCACAAACTGACAAGTAGACCTGACTGAACAGGTCTGCAGAGTATAGCATTGCAGAGGGGATCCCCTTCTCTGCTCCAGCCCCTCCGCCTTTGTTCTCCCAGGAGATATGAGTACATCTATTCTTTCATTAGACTGCTTGGTACAAAGTAACTGCTCAATTAACATGTTAATAGTAACAGCAGTGACTCATACTTTATCAAGAAGATAAACAGACAATGAACTGACAATTACCTCTAGTGAGATTGCAGTGCAGTATTGTGTGAAATATGAGCTTAGTTTATGAACTTCAAGTGTATAGAAACATCTGTCTACCAGAGCTGGAAGCACTGCTTACAACAAAACATGACACATGTCTTTATAACATGCATGAGCAGGATCAAACTGCAGTCACTCACCAGGAGGCTTGCACATGTGGATCTCGCTCTGACACTGCACCAGAGGATGGAGGGCCGGAGGGGGGCTGCTGCGGCTGCAGGAGGGCACTGAGGTAGCTTTGGCAGCGAGCTCTGCCATGCCAGTAACCGGGGGTGATGGTGGCGGAGATAGAGTTGTGGGCGATCCACATTGGGTCTGGTATCGCAACTGTGTCAGAGACGGGGGCATGCCCTGGTAGTGACGAGTCGCACTCAATAGATCATTTAGGATTTGAAGGATGGTACTAATATCTCGCCTGGGACGTCCTGTGCTGTCCTGGCAGTTTGGGTGCAATGTGCCTGAAAAAGAGAGTAAGGCAGAAGTTTAATTGTGTTCAAAATAAATGTTTTACTTCATCATGAATTGCTCTCCTTTCTTTATTTAATGTGCCATAGGCATATTTACCTGAAAAAGTCCCTGAGAAAACTCCGGGAGCATGGTTCACAAAGCTCTCAATGATGGCTCCAGGTTTGCGGGAGGAGGAGGAGGAGGAGGAGCGGGAGGAGGAGCTGCTTCCACTATTTGGGCTGGTGGTGGTGCTGCAGTTTGCCTAAAGAAGACATATGGATAACAAATTAAAACACAGCTAATCAGTGTCTCAGTGACATCTCTGCTGACTCTTGTGGTTTTTACACTTCAACATATAGCAACATATAGCATTCATAATGTGTACATTTGAGCACACCACTAGGTAACCTTTGAGCCAAAAGTACCCTGTCTATATACAGTAAGCAGAAACCAAATCTTTTCTCGGCCTATCAAGTGACAAGAATCTGGTATACCTGGTCCCTAAATACGCACTATGACCAAGTTAGGTTATAGTGAACTTGTGTGAAAACCTGAAGCATGTTAGCGGCTTGCATTCATTGTTCTTTTTATTTTTGTAAATTAATATAAATAGGTTGATCACTAAAGTCTGACATTTCCCTCATCTGAACATTACATCAGACCTTTGGTTTGATTGAATAGAAATGTACTAATATATAGTAGTATTTCAGAAGAGCTTACCTCTGGGCACAAGACTGGGGCTACAGGGCTGGGCTGGCTCATGCTGTGGCTGGACTGGCTGGACGAAGGCTGGTGGTAGTAGTGATGATGGTGGTGATGCGCTGGAGATCGAAACAGACTTGCGGGCATGTGGGACGGCCGAGGGGAGTGGGGCATGGGAGGCGGAGTTGGGGGACTACAGTGAGCAGATGTGGTGGACGGGTGGTACATGGGAGGTAGAGGCTGGTGGTGCGTGGAGGGCATGGGGAAGGACACGGGCACTGAAGGAGGGGTGGAGGAAGTTTGGGCTGAGGGCACGTGTGAGCTGGGGCTGTGTGGATGTTGCGAGTGGGCGTGCGGGTTGGGCACACGAGGCTGTCCAGTGGGCTGTGCCACGCTGCTTTCCCCACTGCCCCGAGTGATGACATGTCTGTGCTGGAGCTGGGGTCCTCCGGACTGCTGCGCCGCCAATTGCAACTGCACAAACATCATGTGGTCTCCAACGCGCAGCGCCAGGGTGAGCGGAGAACGGCCTGACAGGAAGTCGCTGACCTGAGGAAACAACAAAGGGACAGCGGTATTTACTTCTGTTCAAATACTACACCTTTGAGTTTTACAATGACCAAACTGCAAGCCTTTATGATTGGACCATTGCAAAAAGACAGAACCAGAACCCCTTCTAATTGAACCCATAATTGTGTTATGAAGTTTTGCTATTCTCCAACACTGGGACTTTTACATCTGCAGAGCGTGAAGAAAGCCAGTGAAAAACACAAATAGAGCCCACTCCACTTCTCACTGCCCTCGGCCTGTTCTTAGTCAGCAGTGTCATTCAACTCAGGAACAAAGGCCACCCTTCTGTCTGGCCTCGGGCCTGAAAAATCAGTCCCACGTCCAGGAAATACACCCCGCCTACCTCTCACACACAGAATGCCTGATTGTCTATGGGTCCACAGCAGACCTGGATGGGCTGCCCATTTTTGGAGCTCTGGAGCAAAGGCCTCCAATGACCCATGTGTGGCCCAGAGGAGCACACACTCACAGAGACTAGAGGTTCACAATCTGAGGATTCACACTAAACAACCGGACACTTGTCATCTCCCACTGAATTCCCGCGCCCTTCTCTTGAACGCTTGCCTCCCCCTGTATTTTTAGAACGGACACACAACAGCTTGGGTCTTAGACATTTATAACATAACAGACAGACAAATATACTGTACATAGTACAGACATTGCTGTTGCAATAGTATTTAATAACCTAAGTAGACCAAAGTTTATCCCTATAGAGGAAAGTGGAGGGGGTGACAAAGGCTCTCGTCTATAATACATCCAACAATAGTGCACTAAAAGGACCAGTCACAAAGAGGGAATAATACCTGGCAATGAAGACATACATACAAAGACAGAGCAAGGAAAGTGAAAGCCTGATCTCCCCCAGACACTGCAGCCTTTGGAGTGTGCTTTGGAGATGTTGGCCTGTAGTTAACCCCGCGATCACCAGGCTCTGCCCTCCATCACTGCTCTCTCCCTTTTCTTTCTGCTTATTTATTTCTCTATCGACCGCTGACTCTCTGTTGCCAGGGTGACCTTTACACATTGGTATTGACATGGTTTGGAAAAAGAGGATTGTGGGAGGAGAGAGTGGGAGGCAGGTGACCACAGGGGGTGGAGTGATTATCTGGATGTACGTAATAATTAACAATAATATTAAGAACTATATTACTTACAAAAGTAAACTTTTGAGATAAGATTAAGAGAACCCTTATGAGTCACACAGTGCGAAATGTTCAATGTGGAGGAGTTTGTGGCCGGATGAGGGAAGCCTGGTGCACCCTGGTAAGGTCTCCTATGGCAAAACATGGATGAATTGTTATAGTCTCACAGATTGGCTCATGTGTGGCTGGAAAAATACATCTTGGTTGGATGAAGTGTGGGTAACCCTGATCTAAATGGAGGGGGTGGGTTTCACGGGGGTCGGGTGGAGAAAGGACTGGTTGAAGACAGCTGCTTCCACAACTTGGCTTCAGATACAGCCAAAATGGTGGTAGTAGTGCAGTATATTTGTATTCACATTACCTTACAAATATGATTAATGATGAAGAGATTTAGCATGTTTTGTTGTAAGTAACTCCACTTCTTATAGTTAAAACATAACCAATGCCATGGCTTGTTGATACATTCCAAACCTGTCATGATTACCCCATCGCCAGGAGGACAATAAAGCCAAGATGCCCTGGGGTCTGGGTGTGAAGTAAGGACAGGGTGCTACATGAGAAGGCTCCAGGAAACCCCATGTGCAAAAGGTCAACGCTGAGCCGTTATTTGAGTGTGGAGTCCGTTTGGGGAGTGGGTAGTATTTAAAGGTGGGGGAGAAAAGCAGATACGGAGGAGAGAGGGGGGGGGGAGGGGGAGGACAGAGGGAGTGGATGATGTCTGAGTGACTGGCAGTGTGTAAATGTAGGAGGATAGCATCAGAAAGTAAATTATCATAAACTTGCATTTTGAGAGTTATGGTTGGATCTTCAAAGAGAAAGCCCCAACTTTTAGAAGCGGATGTTTACATCTAACTTTTACATGCATATGTAATACCAATCTAAGATAAGACGGGCTTAAGTAATTTACATGCAGTAAATAGTAAAGTGGGATTTAAAAAGACCTGGAGGTGACTGACAGCAGGAGAAACACAGAGGAGGCTTGATTACCCTTTTAATGACTAGCGTGTATTATTCAAAACCACAAGATGTAATTCATGTCCTCCTACTGCGCTCCCGACACCACATGTCAGCTCCAAATTAGCCAGGGATAGAATGAAGCCTCTGCTCTCTGTTTCTCTCCCCCTCTCTTCGCCTCCTCCAGTTGATTTTGTGTCACTCTTGGTCCCAAAGTCTCAGGCGTGGTTGAGTCACAAAGTCAGTGCAGAAGTGGCTCGCACGTGTCCTGCTTAGTCTCCATACATAGGCGGGCTGAAAATCTCCTCTGTGCTGTGCTCGTGTGACTCATTTTAGGGTTGAGGAGCGCAAATACCACCCACCACAACCTCATCTTTGGGCAGAAACTAAAAGGGCAGAAACCCACATAAACAGAGACAAGGACAAATAACAGGGGACATTTCAGCAGCAATAATCAGCATGGTCAGTCTTGTAGCATTGTGGTGTGCTTTCCCCTTAACCACTAAGTACAAAAGAAAAACAAGCTATATGTTCTTGCAGTGTGACAAGCAAAAAAAGCCCTAGCCCTAATTTGAAAGGCACATACTAATAGGTCTATACATTTTGTGGTATTGAATGTTTGACTGTTTTATAAAATGTGGGTTGGTAATTAGGGCTGTAACAAGTAAAATGATTAATCAGAATCAATTATTGAAATGGTTGTCAACTAATTTATGAATCGATTAATCGTTCATGTTGTTGATGATTATTTTAGGGCAAATGTATTAAAACAATTCCATATCCACAGACTTTTCAGGATCCAAACAACTAATCGATTAAACAAAAAGTATAATCAGCCAACTAATCGAAACATTGTTAGTTACAGCCCTAGCCGTAATCAGATGCAAAATTCCACTTCTTCCAAGCCATTTATTTCTTCCTATAATACATGACATGATATTTTCCCCAACATCGTGGAGGGACCCGAACAGCTTGCGCAGCTCGGAGCCGGGAGCTGTGGAGTGGAACACCTGAAATAGGGCCTTGTTTCCTGGGGGAAGGGAGGAAGCGGAGGGCCCTGCCTGCCTAGCCTCCTGCCAGGGGCTAGATTGGCGAGTGATCGTGTAACAACAAGCCTCTTCCAGACGGACAGAGACTATGAAGGAGGCGAGGGAAGTGTATTTGTGTGTGTCGAGATGGGGCCGAGGAGAGGAGGGGGTTGCTCTTGTGTTGGAAAGCTGGCTTGCAGACCGTTCCCAGAGGTCTCGGCTAGCAGCTCAGCTCCAGCCCAAACATGTCTCTCTCTCTCCCTCTCTCTCTCATTCTCCACGGAGCAGAGCCAAGAAGACAGACCCTGCTACCATTGACGTCAGGACACAGCGGATAGCTAGGGCTTTGACTAGATTGGAGTCAGACAAAAGAATGCTTCTAAGCCCGTCTCCTGTTCGTACACTCCTCTCTCTCTAAACCTTTGGAAAAGCAACCTCACCTTGTCTCTAGTGGTTCTTTTAAAGGACAGGAGACAGGAGGATTACAAACTTAGAAGAGGGCCCCCTTTTTGTTGTGGTAAGGCAGGCAGACTGAACCAGCCCATTATTGTTCTTCATCTGAAAAAGCAGCAGCAGTGGTATGCAAAAAGCTGCGGTGGTCAAGCCTAAAGAACAAGGCGTGTGTCTGAACGCATTTGTCCAAAAACAACATGTGAGCGTCATTACCTCTGACAGAAATTACACGAGCTGCAAGTCTACTCAGGCGTTGATAAAGTGCTGCTCCCTTAATTGCCTTCACCTCACCCACTGTGCACAAAGGAGCAGTCAAGTGGTTTGAATTTTTGTTATGTGTATCGTAACAACGATTTACAGTAAGTTTGCCGAGGGATGGTTGCAAAAATGCCTGCACGCATCTTTTGTAATATGCCACTCAAATCAACCAATTTACCAGGGCGGCACACGAGGGTCTTAGAATACTATTATTTACTTTACAAACATCAAATGATCTTAAAAACCTGGCTATCCCTGTCTTCCAAGTTCAAAAACAGGGATATTAAGGAGCTTACATGTAATATTTCTCTTTGAGTGCTTTTAGGCTGTTTTATCTGGAAGGCAAGTCCAGTCTCATCCAAATTAGTTTTAGGCGCAGTGGGATTCCATGCGAGAATTGAAAATAATATTATCCAATAAAATAATTCAACTTTAAAAGAAAATTCCAGTTTCAGTTTTCCCTTACATGTGAATTACCCAACTGCACTTTGAACATTATCCAAGCTCGGAATTTCAATGGCTGAAAAATCGCAACCAGACATATCTTTAAAATTGAGCAGCGACACAAAGCTATATCCACCACTATTGTTTATTACTATTTACTTTGTGAGATAGTCGTATAAGACCAGACCATGTTGTTTAAGAGAAGGCTCTGGTTGCTACGCTGAGATAGGGGCGAATATGATAAGGGCCAATCTGGGAGGAGGGGGATAGTAAAACATGGAGGCAAAGGGGGTTGGATGGCATGAGGAGCCGAGGATGGTGCATGCGGATGGGGGTAGGGTGTCAGGGAGCTGCTGCTGCTGGTGATGAAATATTCAGTGAGAGTGCGCCTCTGGCTCCTTCTCTCTTTTTTTCCCTTTCGACATCTCTGGCTGACAGTTTTATTTATTGGGGTCCCTGTGGTTCAAGGAACTCATTTGCAGTCGTTCTTCCTTTGCACACTAAGCGAACTACGGCTGAGAGATAAGCAGGAGGAGGAAGACACTGGAGGTGGGTTGAGTAGGAGAGAGAGAAAAGGGACTGAGCTGACATTCATGAACAACTGAGCAGCTTTGTGCCGGAGAGGAGGGTGAGGATGGAGGATTTGAGGGCGGGACAGATGGTTGGGAAGAGGGGAAGCCTTGAGATGAGGAAGAAGGCA